AAAAAAAAAAAAAAACACCAGCCCCTTTTGTTTAAAATTTTAAAAGCTGCAACTATGATTTTATTCATTATACAGTTTTTCTAAGAAGGACATAAATTTAGGTGTCACAGATAAAGATGACTTTTTAAAAATACCAACTACTTTTTATAAAAATGATTTTTCTTTAAAAAAGAAAATCAAGCCCAGCACCAGTGGCTCACACCTGTAATTCTGGCTTTTTAGTAGGCCAAGATCTGAGGATCATGGTTGGAAGCAGTAAAGTCTATGAACTCTCATTTTCAATAAACCACCAAAAGCAACAACAACAATTAACAACAAAACCTGGAAGCAGAATTGTGACTTACATGGTAGAATGCTAGCTCTTAGACACACACACACCATCAAGACTTAAAAAAAAAAAAAAACAGAGGGAAATGAGCCACAAGTCACCTAGTCCTCACTGTACAGAGGAAGTTAGAGCAGAAGACAGGATGAAGAGGAGAAAGCAGCTGATCAGTGAGCGTGAGAATGAAAGACTGTTCTGCAACACCAAACATGAGGGAAATCTAGAAAGAGTCCTTTCAAAGCTAGACAGAAAAGAAAATCCACTAGTAAGTTACCCTAGAGACAAGAACAAACACTGTACAGGAGAGGAGAGGAAAGGAATACCTAATAACTTTGTAGAACAATCCTCAACCTCCATCATTACTAAAGAAATGTACATAACTGTGCACCCATTGTGCTGGAGGCCAGAGCAGGTCATGTAAAATAGAGCTGAGAAGGAGATTGCCTGTGTGTGTGTGTGTGTGTGTGTGTGTGTGTGTGTGTGTGTGTGTGTGTGTGATAGAGACAGAGAGACAGAGACAGAGAGAAACAGATAAAGAGTGATAAACAGACACAAAGATAGAGACCGGGAAAGAGTGATGGAGACAAAGGATAGAGATAACAGAAAGAGTCTCAGATAACCAGAGACAGAGACTAAACTGCTCATCCCAGTTAGCTCTAAGGAATCAGACCAGGAACAGGGGACAAGAGGGTAAAACATACAATTCCAGTGTTTCTTCTTTCCCATCAAAAGATAATTTTTTTAAGTATATGCATTTAAAAATCCAGCTCAGCTTTAAGAAAACTCATACGTGCGGTGACAAGAGGAAGAAAGAAATAGAAGTCCCTGACGCATGTGTTTTGATGGTAGGCCTTATAAAGAACAAGGCTTTCTCTGCCCAGCTAGAATTGACATCTGGAGAAGTTGTCACCGCGGACTTTGCTCTATTAAAAGAAACGAAGCCCCATCCAGGACCACGGTGCCCTCTGCCCGAAGTGACTTCCCAGTCATCTAATCCCTCAGGGATTCCCAGCTCTACCTCTCTCCTAGCCAAAGCCCTCAGCTGCCCCTGCCCCCCAGGAAAGCACTTCCTACTGGGCAGATGGAGAGAAAAGGAAGTGCCCACGTTGGACTGTAACAGGATCCTGTCTTGCATAAGAGTTATCAGCCCAAAGCTGGTGATGGTGGCATGGCCAGGAGGGAACACTCTGCAGCTCATCAAGTCAGTTGTAAAACAAACCCAGCAAGCTCACGCGTCACATGACACATGGGCTGGAGCTTCTGTTGGCTAAAGACAGGAACTTGAACCCAAACTCCATCTACTTGAACTTAAACTTGAACTCTACCCGCTTGCTCCCTCCCTCCCCCACCCCGCCTCCCCACCCCACACTTCTCCTCTCGCCCCTCTGCGGGGTCGCTCTGAAGCTCTCAGAAATTATTTGGTATCCATTGCTCTCAACTCTCCTCCGAGTCAGTCTACCCCATGGGCAGAAAGTTTTGGGGGTTTGTTTTTATGCCAGTCCTAGGGCTTAAACTCAAGGCCTGGGTGTTGTCCTTTAGCTTTTTCATTCAAGGCTGGCTCTCTACCACTTGAGCCACTTCCAGCTTTTTGGTGTTCAACTAGAGATAGGAGTATCCTGCCTTCAAAACATAATCCCCAGATGTCAACCTTCTGAGGAGCTAGGATTACAAGTGTGAGCACCAGCATCCAACAGAATAGTGGACATATGTGTGTGTGTGTGTGTGTGTATATATATATATATGTATGTACACATACACACATATAGAAGAAAAGAGAGAGAGAGACAGTGCTCATTCATTGTCTGAGTGATCCACATATATTCTTTTCTGCTGATGGGTACTTAGAAGGTTTCCCATTCTCACCATTCTCAAATAACACTTTGATGGAGTTTCTTGATTGTGTGTGTGTGTGTGTGTGTGTGTGTGAATTCCTAGTGTTAGGACAGTAGGTGGCATGTAGAAAACACTTAAAATGAAAACATATTGAATCAAATAGGAATGAATGAACAAGCTGAATGGAATGGAATTTTACTGACTAAATGAGATGCTAATTCGGCACATTTCAGACATGTCCTCCCCACCCTGCCCTCCGACGAACAGTTTTTAAAAGTTACATGGACATCAAATAATAAACCAGATCAGGCATCGAATTTCTGAAGTGGATAATGAATAATAAATGTTTGCTTATACAATATTAGCATCTCACACAGGAAAATGCTGAGGTCACGGAAATTCTGTGATAAATTCGGATTTGCCTCAAGCCTCCGGGACACACTTCCTTCGGATCACGAGCATTTCTGGTTATTGGAAAACCTTGCTTTCTGTCTCGAAGGCAGAAACAAAGCAACTTACATATTCTCAAAGTGAAAAGTATTCACTTGAAAATAATTTTGGTAGACACGTACCTATTGACTTTCTTAGAATTCTAAAATTGTGTAGAAACAATCGAATATAAAATCAGGAAAAGGGAGGGGGGAGGTTGATGGCATTGAGGGTGGAACTCAGGGCCCTCCACTTCCCAGCCAGGAGCTCTGCCGCTTGAGCCATGCCTCCATCCTTTTCCTGTGCGTTATTTTCTAGGTAGGAACTCTCTCCATGCCCTAGCCAGCTTGGGTTGTGATTCTCCCATCTGTGCTTCCTCCATTGCTAGGGATGACAGGCATGCGCCACTATGGCCAGCCACTGAGTGAGATGAACTCTCCAAAACTTCAGCTGACCGCAAAGCTTTCAATAACTGATATGTTTTTCATGCTAAGACAGCTCCGTTGGCCAGGCAAACGGGCCTGTAGATGTGAGGTATGATTACCTGCACCTGTGTGTAGGACCTTTCTATGCCAATAGACAGTGTTAGGTTGCCCATTTTCTCTGTACAATATTGTCCCATTTTTGTGTATGTGCCAGCAATGGGACTTGAACCCAGAGCCTTTTGCTCTTACTTGGCTTCTTCCACTCATGGCTGTTGCTCTACCCCTTGAGCCACACCTCCACTTCCAGCTTTTTGGGGTGGTTAAGGTGGTGCTAAGTCTTGGATTTATCTACCCAGGCTGGTGTCAAACTGTGAGCCTTAGATCTCAGCTTCCCAAGTGGCTGGGATTACAGGAATGAGCCACTGTGCCTCGCTACTACTTTTTTACTTCTTGAAGCATCAAGGTCCTCAGGGTGACTCAGATGATCCTGACCTTAGACGTTGTCCTTAGCGGTAGGTCCGGCCACCAGCAAGCCAGGTGGGTTGAGCGTCCAAGCATTCTCTCATCACTCAATGCTTTTAAGATCCACTCATCCACCAGAGCCCGCTGTGCTTCCCCCGTCGATCAATTCTTCCATTTCCGGACAGTTCCTTGGCTCTCTGCAGATCACTGAGAGGACGATGGGTTCCTGGCAGCGGCTGCCAAGCATGTAAACAAATAGTTTCTTCTTTCTGCGGCGACAGGCGCATGTCATCGTCCAGAGTAAAACACCTTCCCAAGAGCAAGCCTCAGAATCTGCACACTTCGTGGCCCGGGCTGCGGTCGCTTCTGGGAAGCCTGAGTACCACGGTAAGAACCCAGTCTTTTTCCCCTCCCGGGTGGGGGACGGTGAATGGGCTGGGTCAGGCCCTTTGCGGCCTCCTTTGCTCCTTCCAGCGGAGGCTGTGCTGCTCTGCTGCCTCCCAGAGTCCTTTGCGTTCCACCCTCTGACTCCTCTTCAGTTCCACAGGTCATCCAGCGCCTGCCAACCCCAGCTGGCTCCCAGGCTGAGCTCCACTTTCAAAGGCAACTATTTTTAAAGATTGTTGTAGAGCGATGGACGGCCCTGACTCCAGCTTGCTCTCTTTCTCAGGGCAGAGATTTTTCTTTGTTCTTAACAAGGGTGAACTGCCATGGCTCCAGGGTTCCCAAAGAAAGTTGCCACTCCTGACTCATAGGTTGTTTTTGTTGTGTGGTGGTGGTGATGGTGTTGGTGGTCACGGGGATTGAACTCAGGGCCTGGGCTCTCTTTTGCTCAAGGCTAGCACTCTACCGCGTTGAGCCACAGCGCCGCTTCTGTTTTTCTGGTGGTTCATTGGAAACAAGAATCTCATGGACTTTCCTGCCTAGGCTGGCTTTGAACTACCATCCTCAGATCGCAGCCTCCTGAATAGCTGGGCGGACAGGGGTGAGCCATCAGCACCCGGTGGATTCTTCTCCTCATCCCTGAGTACTAGGAAGAACTTTGGGAGTTCTGTGTTCCATCACCCCAGGGTCAGAATATTCCACGAGCTTCTGCTGTCAGGAAACACACATGCCAGTGACGTGGTTGGGAGGGTTGTAACATTCAGAAGCCGAGGGCAGCTCACAAAGAAGACCAAAGGTATACGCTAAGATGGCCAATAAAATAGTTCTTTTCCCAGTAAAAGCAGTAAATCAGTGTCTGGAAGCGGCTCAAGAAGCAGGAGTCAGGCTTGCACGATGAGCCCCAGTATCTGCCCCAGCTCCTACCTCTGAGAGGCTGGGCAGAGCCCTCTGGAAGTAGGGGGGGGGGTGTTACTACCCTCCCCTACCTCTCTGTGCTGAGCCCAAGGATGCTGGGATTTGCTTTTGGAGCAGGAGGACTTTCATGGAAACAGCACGGGTGGGCACGACCCTAATGCACACAGAGCACTGCTGGGCCGAAGCGGGCGCTGAGGCTCAGAGCTGGGGCGCACCCCGGTGTCCTGGGCCGCCCCTGCATTCTTCCTGCAGGCAAAACTGCCCTAGAAGTCTCCGGATCCCAGGAGGCCCGTGAGCACTCCAGCTTCTCCACTCAGACTCCTGGAATGTCACTAACCTGAGCCTGGCCAGACGCCCAGAGCAGCACAAACTTGGTATTCGCAGCTCTCCTGACCCTGCGAAGTGTCCAGGGCCTTGGCTTTGTGTTTATAGCGCTTGTCCTAAAGGATATTAAGATGAAACGGTCTGTGTAAGGCTCTGGGGCAGCAGAGCCTTGCTGAGTGCAGGCGGCCTTGTTTGGAAGTGGCCCCACGAGCAGCCAGGTCTCCAGCAGGCTGGGGAGTTCTACCCTGTCCAGGGAGAGCAGGTAGAGGGCAGGGGTCCCTGACCAACTTCATTCCCGGCCCCCACCACGTAAGTCTCAGTGCTCAGATCTATGGCTCTCCCCAGTGCCCACCCCACGTTCTGGATCGGTGTGAAAAATGGAGGTATGGAAAGTTGGCATCTCCTTCTGTCTTCCACAATCCCGTCTCAGCTCTTCCTCTGTGACCTGTCTTGTCAGCGGGTCCTGTGTGGGCCACACCCTCGCCCTAACCCCTCATTCCCCCTCACCAGGGCTCCTTGGTACCTGGCTGTCCTGGCACAGGTACCCAATCCTGCAGGCTCCTGGCCGGCAACATGGTACCTGGGGGGGGGGGGGCGACCATAGTTGGTGTCCCTCACCTTACCACCTGGATGTCCACCTCGCTGCCTTCCTCCCCTTCCCCTCTGAGGCTGTGTGGAGGGGGAGGGGGAGTGAATGCCAGGGCCAGGATTCCAGACTCCATTTTCAATTTCCTAAGGCCTTCAAGCCTTCGCCGTTATTAGTATAAAGACGATCTTCTGTCACAAAAAGATCATTGTCACCTGGCAGCTGAGGCCTCTCTCTTAATGAAAGCTGTCCCTGGCCTGTTCTGCCCACTGCCTCAGGAAAGTGAGCAGAGTTCATTTTAATGAAAAGTCTTCAGACCCCCTGTGGGTGGTCCTACGCCCTTCATTCCTCTCTGCTTTGTAGGAAGCTTTGTTTTCTTTAGCATGGGCATCTCCGTGCAAAGTCTGTCTGGGAAGGACGTGGCTTCCAGTAGATCCCAGACACAGCCGTCTGCAGAGACAGTGAACTTCCCCGACCCACGGAGCCACCCATCCTCCCACCCCCACTGGAACTCAAAAGCAACCTGAACGCCCTGTTGGGAAGATACATGGTCTTGGAACACCTCTGCCCCCAGGGTTCAGATTTACAAGCTAAGTCATGTTCCTATGTTTTAGAAAATGACTTCATCTTTTGCCCGGGCCTCTGGGGCATCAGGTTGCAGAGGATTCTAGAAGTGCTTTTTAAAGCTAGGGATGGCTGTGTACAAGAACACCAAAACTGCTGGCTCTTCGTGACCGCCACACCCAGCTACAGGATGCAGAGACATGATGGGAGGTGGCTTCCTGTCCTGGAGGGTTATGGCTTCCTGTTCTTCCGGAAATGCTGATTCCAAGATAGACCTCAGGTCCCCTCCTCCCCCAGGAGAATAAACTTCCCTACTGAGCTGGGTACAGGTGGCTCATGCTTATAATCCTAGATACTCAGGAGATCTGAGAATCATGGTTTGAAGCCAGTCTAGGCAGGAAAATCCATGAGATTCTTATCTCCAATTAACCACCAGCAAACCAGAAGTGGTGCTGTGGTTAAGATGATAGAGTGATAGCCTTGATTGGAAAAAGCTCAGGGACAGAGCCCAGCCCTGAGTTCAAGCCCCACAACTGACAAAACACACCTGTTTATTGGAAAATGACTCCTTGCTATGTTAACAAGGCTTAAAGATTACCTGTGTGGATTGTCAGAGTTAACTTGGGGGCTAGGTTGGGAGAAATAAGTAGGGGTCTTTCCATAAAGAAGCTGTTCTGGATTCTAGATAAAATAAAAAAAAATGATTTTGAATTTATAGGCAGGGAAATGACCAGGTTGGGTGCTGGGAGTGGAGGTATAGCTCAGATAGTAGAGCACCAGACTTGAACAATAAAAGCTAACAGATAGCACCCAGGTCCTGAGTTCAAGCCCTAATGCTGCCACACATAGGAAAAAGGGTTCCTAGTGTCCCAATGTCAGTGAGGAGGGATGGAGGTTATAGGAAGAATTAGGATGGATCATTATAAAAAGTTTGGTGAGTACTTTTCCTTCCTTCCTTCCTTCCTTCCCTTCTTTCCTCCCTTTCCCTCTCCCTCTCCCTCTCCCTCCTCTCTCTCTCTTTCTTTTTTTGTGGGTCAAGGGGCTTGAACTCAGAGCCTGGGCACTATCCCTGAGCTCTTTGGCTCAAAGCTAATGCTCTAACACTGAGCCACTTCCTACTTTTTCCTTTTTGCATTGACTTTGCTTTCTACATCAGCAGGAAAGCTACAGTGGCTGAAAGTTAAAAGAAGTAGTTTGCTGTATCCTTCTGAGACCTAAATCTTTTCTGATAAAACAGGTGGATTAATGGGCGAAGGGCAGTCTCTTTAACTGTTTTCCTCTTGTGCAGTACTTATGATTTTCAAATGGTTTATCGCTGCTAAGAAGCCTATTTACTCCATTTCCCTTTCAAGTCTGTGAGCAGTTTTCAAAATTGTTGTTTTGATGCTTTTCTACAGAGGTGGCTGAGAAGTATTTTCAAGAGAGTATGGGTCATCTTAAGGACTGCGAAGGGAAAGGGAGAGCCAAGTTCCTTTCCATTCAAGATGAATTTTGCCATTTTCTACAAAGTATTGGACAAGAAGAGGTAAATGATTTCGATCACAACTGCCTGGTTTATTCACAAGTTAGCCCAGCAGATACCCGAAGGGCTACCTCTTCATGCTGCAAGCATCCATTATGCACACTCTATCCACACGACATGTCTTGGCCTCTAGGGACACAGATAAACCATTCCTAGATGCCCTAGATAAGAATGTAGATGTTGTATCTGGAAACCTCGAGAAGCTAGGGCACCGAAGCTTGTTTCTCTAAGCCTGTGGTTTTGGGCTGGAATAAGAGGGTGGCAGTGAGTTTTCTCATTCTCTTGGCTCCTTTTGAGTAATCAGTGGAATTTGCATAGCTAATGAAAGCGACACAGTAGAGCGCCACTCACTGTCTTTCAGTGATCCAGACAGGCCTGCCTGACATGGCAGGGTTCATGGTCATTGGCAATTAAACCCTTGGGAACTTGTTCCCTACAAAGTCCATTGGCTGCCGGCATGCCTCAAAGTGTAGTTCAACGGCTACTCTTTCAGTCTAGTATGGCAAATCTTGAACATGAACAAGGGTTTTCCTTTGCTGTCTGCCAACCTCCTCCCCAGAGCTTGTTCCTCACCCTTTACCCCCTCACTCCTGTTAGTGTACAGGCTTTTAGTGCATCTATGGTCCTCAGGCCGAAGAACAACAACAGTCACAATAGGAGAGAGGGGCCTTGTAGAGGTCTTTTGTTCCCAGCCCAAGTCCAATGTCTGGAAGTCTTGTGAGGACTCAGGTCAGAAGAGGCTCCTCAGTCATTTTTTTCCCCTCTAAAGTTTATCTAGAATCTATCTCCCCTCCCATCAGACATCCTCTCTCACTTGGGCTACTTTAGTAGTTGCTGTCTCTTAGTGGCTTTTTCCAGGGTTGACCTTGCCTAATCATAAAGCACATCTGCCCAGCTGTGCAGGAGGCAGAGGTGGATGGGAGGGCTGCAGCTCCAGGCCAGCTGAGATCAAAACAAGTTAGTGAGACCCTATCTCAAAGAACAAGCCCTTCCTTCCTTCCTTTCTTTCTTTTCTTTCTCTCTTTCTTTCTTTCTCTTTCTCTCTCTCTCTTTCTTTCTTTCTCTCTCTCTTTCTCTTTTTTTCTTACTAAACACTGCAGCTTAAGCTTCTGAGGGAGTGTAAGGCCTAAAGAAAATAGTACTTGTGCTTTTGATGCAGCTACTCATTAATACAGTTATTTGTCTCCGAGTTCCTGACTGCTGTTTCCCAGACCTCATTTTCTCTGATCCACCCTGCCTCTGTCCCCTCCTCTCCCCCCCCCAATATGCAGCTCCTGCCCCTAAGTCCTGCTAGCAAAGCCCATCCCAGCACTCCCTGTCTGTGGGCCACCCTTAGGGTTGTGCTGTCTGGCTTTATTTGGCTGTTGGAAATCAGCCTTCACATTATGCAACTTGAATTGAGCTTTTATGTGGAAAACTCTGGAAGGATTTCAGAACATGTAGGAAATGGACATGCTTTAACCGGGCTCCCCCAGGGTCTCCCAGTGACTGAAGAAATCAATACTACAGGAAATACTGTTTTCTGACCAACTCATATTGAAATTCCAAGTTGGTATAAATAAGCTGGTTAAAAACCAAACAAAATGTCACATCATGTCAGAATGTTTACTTTTGGTTTCCTACACTACTTTCTGTGAGAAGAGAAAACCCCAGAGCATAGAAGGTTGTTTCTGTTTCTGTTTATTCTTTGCTATGTAAGAACACCAGCCTGCACAGAGAAAGAAAGAGAGCGATGTGGACCTGCAAGGTGTTACAATGACTGGGTAAACAGACCCTCACCCCACAGTGACCCGCGCTGTCTACCTCTCCTCCTGCACCCTGCCTCTGTTTCCTCCTCTATCCCGCGAGGATTAAAACTGTGCTCATCTAAAGACTAAGAATTGAATGTGATTACACACATCCAATAGAACCTATCTGATACATGAACTTCACATATACTTGTTAGCTTCCCCCTCCCCACCACCCCGGGTACTGAGGTTTGAACAGCAGACCTCATGCTCACTAGGCAGGTGTTCTACCGTTTTGAGTGGTGCCCCATTCCTGTTTTTGTGGTGGTTTTTGCTTTACTTGTTTTTCAGGTAAAGTTGTTGGGCTGCTGTTGTTGTTGCTGTTGCTTTGTTTTTGTTTGTTTGCCAGGGCCTGCCTAGACTGCGATCTTCCTACCTATGGCCTTTCATGTAGCTGGCTGTGCAGATATGAACTACCATACCCTGTTTACTAATTGAGATGAGGTCTTGCTAATGTTTTTACCTGGGCTGGCCTCAAACCGTAATCCTCCTGATTCTGCATCTCCTGAGTAGCTAGGGTTATGAATGTGAGCCATCATGCCTGGCCAAAACATGTTAGCTTTTGTTCCTACTGCCCAACTGAATTGGATTTCTGCAACAGCCAAGGTGGGTTTTTTTTTTTGGTCCTTAACGTCATTCTCTTTTCATACTTTACACCTTCTCTCCAAAACACATTGCTTCTTGTCTCTTGTTTAACCAAAGGAGAGTATCCCCAGCTCATGAGACCTGCCAGGCCCCAAACGTGAGAATGAACATCACTTACCTGATTTCCTTAGGAGATACTATTCTTAATTAAACTTTGGGCTTTTTGTTTTTTTAACCCAACAGCCTCTTGTCTCTTTCTCAGAGAGCAACCTTGGTCCAGAAAGAATCCCTGGAAGCCAAGGTGGGAGCATTTGGTGATTTCAGTCCCAAGGTGGCAGAGACATACCGGCTTCTGGGCAGAGCAGACCTGGCACAGGGAAACCCCAGTGGAGCCCACAAGAAGCTGAAGAAGGTAAACGGGGAGCCAACATTGACCCAGGGCGGAGCCCCTGCCCTCTCAGACAGTGTCTCTCAACCATGCTCCTTTTCCATGAAACTTCAGAGTGCCTTGTTTAAGTGAGGTAATATCCCTTTTGCAGTCAATCTAAGCAAATGCTTCCAGGATAAGGGACTTTTTTCTCTTAGACACATACATTTTAAAAATTAATTATCACTTGTTTTTTGGCCACGCATTTAATTTTAGCTTTGACGTGGTATAGAGTATCAAGCCTCCCTATCTACTGTATACCCAGCATGGAGAAGAATGCTTTTATGTTTTCTTTTGTCCTTTTCCTTTAAAATTGATGTTTATATTGTGCAGGGAGTTTGAGGAATGGATCTAATGCTATCTTTTTGCCGAAAGGCCTACCCAGTGGCCAACACCATTGCATTAATTAAGAGCCCATTTAGATGCCAGTGCTTAAAGATAACACCTTTACCATATAGTAAATTTCCATCTGTTTGTAAATAATTTGTGGATCTCCATTCCATTATCCTTGTCTTCATTAGGTGACAGTGTCTCACATTTTCTAACTGTAGAAATTTTATAAAAATGGTTTAATGAGGTAAGACTAGCCCTCCTGGCTTTGATAGCTCAATAAAAGTTTCCTGGTATTTTACTCAGTCATTTATAAATTAGTTTTGGGAGACGCCACATCCCTACTCAAGAACAAAGGCTGACTTTCCCTTTTCACAAATCTACTTTTGTATCTTTCAGGCACATTTGAAACTGATTGTCCTATAGGCTATATATATTTCTTCTTCTTCCTCCTCCTCCTCTTCCTCCTCCTTCTTCCTCTTCCTCCTGCTCCTCCATCCTCCTCCTCCTCCTCCTTCTTCTTCCTGTTCTCCTTTTGTGCCAGTCCTAATGCTTGAACTCAGGATTTGCGCAGTAGCCTTAGCTCCTTTTGCTCAAGACCAGCACTCTACGACTTGAGCCACAGATCTATTTCCAGATTTATTTTTTGGTAGTTTAGTGGAGATATATGTCTCACAGAGTTTGTTGCCCAGGCTGGCTTCAAACTGCATTCCTTAGATCTCAGCCTCCTAAGTAGCTAGGATTACAGGCATGAACTACCAGCATCCAGCTCTACATATACACTTCTTATTAAGTATATGTCTGTGCATTTTCATCACTACTGTTGTAAGTGGAACTTCATTCATTATTACGACTTTTCTTTTACTTGTGCATACATAAAGGAATATGGGTTTCTCTATGTTCATTTCATATCCAGCTAGCTTCCTTAGTTCTTTTGTTACTTGTGTTAATTTAAGCATTATTGCTCTCCAATATTCAATTTGTGTTATTGTGCCATCTTCAAATCCATGTAATTTTACCTCATGTTTTCAAATTCTATGCACCACCCTTTTCTTTTTGGCTCATGCCTCCAATGCGATCATGAGTAATAATCCTTGTCTTGCTTCTGATTGTAGAGGAATTGTCTCTAACAGATATTAGATATTGTCTAACAGATGTTGACTTCATAGCTAAGATGTATGTATGATATGATGTTAGGGATGGATCCTCAATTTCTAGTTTCATGAGTGTTTTGAAAATTGGATTTTATTAAAGGGTTCTTCAGCATCAGCAGAGGTAAACAGATGTATGAGTCTTAGGTTCACTTAATATGGTATATTTTATTGTAGCATTGAACCAACCTTGCATTCCAGGAGCGAATCTTCTGTCATGCTGTGTTATTTTCCTAGCATGATAATGTCTTAATCGATAATTTGCTGCTATAACAAAATACCAGTGACTAAGTAATTTATGAAGACTAGAAATTTATTTATCATTATGCTGAAGGCTGAAAAGCCCAAAAATGAAGGGGCTAGCATCTGGTGGGTTCATGTTACAGCAGAAAGATGAAGTGGGGTGGGGGGAAGGGGAAAGGAAAGAAAAATGGATCTGAACTCAGACCCCTCCTATGACAATGAATCACTTTCATTGAGGAGGGCAGAGCCTTTATGGCCTGATACTTCTCATTAGGCCTCATTTCCCAACACTGTTGCATTGGGAATTGACATTCTAAACCATGCTTTATTAGGTTCAGATTTAAATCATACCAGATGTTTAATCTATTTGTTAACATTTGTTTTAGGATTTCCGAATCAATATTTATATGTGATAATTAATATCAAAGTTGTATTTGTTTCAGAATAATCAGTTGGAGTTTATGTAGCATTAAAACTACCTGATGTTTGAAGGATTATACCTTTTGTGAAACCCTTTAAACCTGCTGCTTTTGTTGTAGGGAAATTCCTTTAATTTAAGCAGGGCCTGTGCTCTGAGCTCTTTTGCTCAAGGCTAGTGCCCTACCATTTGGAGCCACAGCACCACTTCTGGTGGGTAATTGGAGATAAGAGTCTCATGGACTTTCCTGGGCTGACTTTGAACTGTGATCCTCAGATCTCTGCCTTCTGAGTAGCTAAGATTACAGGCATGAATCACCAGTGCCTGGCTCTTTTAAATTTATCTCTGCTTATTTTTCTATAGAAAGTGGTCCATTGAAGCTTTCTGTCTCTAATGGGATCATTCTGGTAAATTATATTTTTCTAAATACTTGTCCATTTCATTTACATTTTCATATTTATTTTTATAAAAGTTTGCAAAGCACTGTCATAAATCTCAAATTCTACTTTTTAATAGCTATTAGTCAATTGTTATCTTTTGGTTTTTATAATTGGATTTTCTCCTTCTTTCCTTGCCTGAGCTACTTAGTGGTTTGTCTGTTTTGTCAATTTATTATATCTGTCCTTGTGTCTTATTTTGTTTTTCTTTGTTGAATTTTTTCTTATGTTTATGATTAGGAATTTAGTTTATTTTCATTCTTATTTATCTAAAAGTGTTTATGAATTTTCTTGTTCCTGTCACTTTATATATGTCTCTTAAGTTTTGTCATATTGTATTTTCATTACGTTAATTAGTCTTAGAATGAGGAAGCCTGGGTCTGAGTAGCATAACTAGCCAAACCCAAAGACTCAGTTCTAAGTGGATTGTCTTGTAGGATAACCCTTTTCCTCTTCTATGACTTTTCTGATTCTGTTTCAAAAGCTGCCAGTTTTGGTAACAAGTGTGGTACTAATTTTTAATGAGTTGACACTATTACTTAATCAATAGTTATTGGGCACTTTTTATGGACCAGTTCCTGTGCTAGCTAGATTGGCAGGAAACAGGATGAAGACAAAAATAGTTTTGTCTTTGTTAGTTTCTAATCAGGCTAGGATGACACTTGCTAAACTGGTGATTTCCAATAGCTTAGTCCCGACCCAGGTTCCAAGATGCTAGGGTGTGGTGAGAATGAAGCTGAGGGTGGCAGTTGCTGTGTCTCCCCACCCTGCACCCCAGGTGCTAACAACCAACACTTGCAGTTTGTTGAGAGATTCGTGGACATTGACACATTTAAACCCCGTGACCATCCTCATAGTTGGGCATCTCCACTCTCCACACTCTATGGGGAGGAAACAGGCTGTGAAGCAAGAGCCTTGGCCTTCATCCCATCACTAAAGGGGTATGACCAGGCTGTCTACACTCTATACCATACTCCCAGCTCATGCTCATGTGCTCTCTCCCTCTCTCTCTCTCTCCCCCCCCTCCTCTCTCTCTCTCTCTCTCTCTCACTTTGTGACTTTCCAAGTGAGCTTTGTGTTTTAGGACAAGGAATTCCTAAGCTTAAAACAAGCTTAGCAACCACTGGCACTATGGAGAAGATGCCAAGATCAATACAGTGGGAACCTTTGTGTTACCACTGACAGGACACAACTGGAACTAGCTCAGGTATGCAGGGACCTTGATTATCTATGGTTTCCAAAGAAGGCAGAACAGCCAGATGCCCATAGGCAAGGATGTGGCCCAGCATCAGGAAGAGCTACAGGGCCAGGCTCTAATGCCAGGAGGGCACTCTGCCCAGGTTTCCTCCCTGCCTCTCTCCACACCACACTACACCACACCACCACCACCACCACCTCCTCCTCCTCCTACTCCTCCTCTTCCTCCTCCTCATCCTCCATCATGCCACACTGTCTTATCCCAAGATGGAGATCATGGCTGACATACCCATGAGGTTTACCCCTATCCCTGTGTCTTTTCTTTGTTTCAGCTTGAAAGACCTCAGGGAAAGATTGCCAGGCCCGGCTGGAATCCAGTGCCCACCCCTGGACCAGTAATCGAGGCCACAAGAGTGGTAGGCTGTGAGAACAGGGCATTTCCAAGGTAGCTGGGTGGCCAGGGGGAGAGGGAGGGCCCAAGGAACATGGCTCCCTAGTGAGAAGGCAGGGACAGCATCCCTAGAATCTCTCCTTGGTTTTAGCACATGAACAATGAACTCAGCTCTCCATTAAGAATGCTCCAGATGGGTGAGCGTTGTAAAGATACAAACTCCCAAGCACTATTGGGCTCTAAGGGAGGGAAGGGGTTATGGGTTCCTGAAAAGTGTTGGGGGCCAACTGTAAGGGGCAGCAGCTGGCAAAGCCCTGAGGCAGGTCTCTGAGGCCACAGATGTGCAGAGAAACCTGAGCTACACAGGACCCCTGCTGGCTCCTACTGGGACCAGGCTGGTACCTTGCACCCCCACCACAGGCTCAGAGCCAGCTTGCTGTTGTCCAGGCACCTGTCTGCCATTCATTCCCACATCCTCCCGGCTGCCCTGTCGGTCACACTTGGTCTACAGAGAAGGGGCGTGAGGCTCACGGAAGTTAAGCTGATTGTCTCTGGGCAGGTACTCTAGGCAAAGGCCAGCTGCATCCCCTTGTGCCAGTGGTTGGCCAAGTGGGGGTCACCTGAATCACCTCTGAGGTGGAGATTGAGAGCCTTGCCAGCTTCTGGGGTAGCTCTGGCCCTCACCATCACACAAGGAGCTGAGACCCAGCTTTGCTTCAAGAAACTCTCAGTTTATAGCCCCTAATTACTACAGCTGCAGGTTGTTTTATTTTCTCCCTTTAGTTTGGCCTCGTTAACCACCAGTCCCGAAACAATGGCTCTGACATTTTAAAACCATCTGGCCTTTAGCCAGCCCGGAGAGTGAAGTCTGCAACTTGTATGTCTATAGGCTGTGCAGTCTATGGGAGGGGCAAGTTCTGTTTTTGTTTTTGTTTTTTTTTCTACATGTACCCATCTGCCCCCAGAACGCCAAGCCACTGACGAGAATATCAGACCTGCCTTTCATATCTGCTGTTTGACTAGGGTGTTTCTCAATGGCCATATTTAGCATGGGCTTTGTGCAGTCAGCAGCTTTCTAAAGTGATTGGCTAGCAGAGTAGAGCAGCCAAAGCGTGCTAGGCCCATAAAGCAATTGGCTGAGTATGTTTCTCTTGTTTTTATTCTAGTAGCTGCACCCCCGGTTTTCAAATCAGTAGCAGGAATTCACTGTGTACTGACTTTTTCCAAATGCACACACATACACACACACACACACACACACACACACACACACACACACACACCCCATGCTGATTGGTCCAGGCATGGGCCTGCGGGCATGAAAACAGGAAGGCCCCAGAAACAAAGCAGACAGCAGGATTCAATTACTGGAAAGGAAACCATATTATTGATCTGTCTTTGAAAGGCATCTGCCTGCAGGGGAAAAGCAGAGAACTCAATTGGCTCTGGCTGGAAATTTCCACAGTGAAAGTTCATATCCTGTCACATAAAATCCTGGTTTATTCTAGGATGGGCATCCTTGCCAGTGAACAGCTTCAAAACGAGTTCCTGATGACTTCTCCTAGTTTGGTATTATGGTGGGCCTCTACGGGAAGTGCAGTGGGGTCGGGGTCCAGCTTTAATCTGACCTTCATATTTGGTCTTGTCCTTGGCAGGGTTCAGACCATTGCTTCAGTATGTTCCACCAATATAGGCATGGAAAGTTTCCTTAAGAGCAAAACAGCATTATCTGCCCCCTGTCCTCCCCTAACATTCAAAGACCCCCTATAATGAATCTTGTAAAGAAAGGAGCTGGACCATAGTTTTTATTCATAGATTGCAGGCAAGAGAGGCGTTGCCTGGGCCCGGGTCAGAGCTGGAGAACAAGCCATCCCACCTTTCCCTACCTGTGTCCAGTTGTTCTTTGAAGCAGCTGAATATACAACCATCCTAGAGACAGCCACATTTTTGGTACATTTTGCGGTCTCCAGTGCCCTGCATGGCTCCTGTCACGTGCTGCTCTTCCTGTAGCACACCTGGAATTTTCCTTGTTACTCTGCCAGATGCCAGGAAACCCAGAGACACAGTTAAGAGTCCCCAAGGAGCCACTACATGGCTCAGCCACGTTGCTTTTTTGTGCAGAGCAACCCTCCCCACCCCCATTCTCCTTGCCTTGACTGATCCTGATTGGACCACAGCAGACCCACGTTCCTTAAATGAGCGAGGTCATATGATACTCATTCCATATAAAAGCCCGGTTCCAGAGTGGAGGGGAATTCAAGCCCTTTATCCCTAGAAGCTGTGTATCAACTGGCTGTTGGGAAAAGGAGAGCGGATCCTGACAGGAATCAGAAGGCATGCATTCCTGACCTCCTGCAGGACACAGGGAGCTTGCTGTAGACTAGAAGGGGCTGGGGGGAATGAGAATCCCAGGCCCCCTGGCCACAGGCTGCTGCTTAAAGGAGGTATTCTCCCCCCCCCCAGGTCACACCCTGCTACTACCTTTGCCTTTACTGTCCCTTAGAAAACACAGATGAGCAGTGGACACACCCTGCCCACAGGACCAGCAGCCCTCACTCCTCAGGCCTACCCAGTGCTTTTACAGCTTAGCAAGGGCATAATGCCCCAAGATCTGCTTCAATTGTTGCCAGGTCTGGAGCAGCCCAGGGCTGTCTGTACAGGTCTGGACAGACTGGTTTGGCCTGAGGTTACCTGGCAGCGAACCAGGCTGGATAAGGTTGAACAGTGAGCCGAGGGGTGGATGGCCAGGCACAAGGGTGAGGCCAAATCTTCCCACCCCATGTATCGGGCAGCGTTAAGTTGAAAGAGAACCATGAGGTTCAGGAGCGGCTTGGGAGGGTGGCGCACCCTCCAGGAGACCCTACTGATACCGCCACGCCCCGTCACCAGGGAAGGGTGCCGAGGAAAGGCTCAGCTTCAGGAGGCTGCGGGTCTCTAGCTTGCTGGCTTGCAGCGATAGTCCAGTCCAACCTTTATGCGGGAGACTGGCTCTTCATTTCCAACCAATCCCTGTGGGCTCCTCCTTGGTAGCCAGCCCCGCTGATGCCCTGTTTTCTAAATACTTGTGTTACAGTTGCCCTGGAGAACGATGGTGGTAGCTTATTCCAACACATTGGTCAAGGGATGGAGCCAAGTCACGGGGGAGTCGAGGGATGCCGATAAGGACTTAGAGCCCCCGGCATTTGGCAACGTGGAGGTGAGGAGAGAGGAGGCAGCAAAGATGGCGTCCACCCCCTAGGGCTGGCACCCAGAGACACTCAGGGACAGTTTTCTGAAGAGTCAGCTTCAACGCTGCTGTGTGGGTGGCTGTGCCAGGTCTCCCTCGAATCCTCCCTCATCTCCCATTTTCCCCCCATCAGAGGGAAGTCTCTCTTCCTGTCTTATCTGTGTTTCTCCCACAGGAGGCCCCCTACCCACCTACCAGCCCATCGGTCTCAGGGCTTAGGATTATGGCCCTTCTAGGAAGGGAGCTGCAAGGGTGGGGGGGGGTGTTGGTGTGGGTGTGAGTGTGTGTAAGAGAGAGAAAAATAGAGAAACACAGGCAGACAGACACAGAGACAGAGAGGAGGATATATGGGGTCTGTTTCCCCAAACACTCGGACTCCCTTCTCCCTGGGACCCTGCCCCCCCAGTCATCACTTCCTCCTTCCTCCATGGTGGTCTTCACCTGTCTTACCACTGTCCTGCAGTCCTCAGATCCAAGTCCCGTCCTGACAAGGGCCTCCGTGTGCCCAGCTGCCTGCTACCACCTGCCACTTCCCTAGTGTCCTTTCTCATGGCTCCTGTGTGTGTGTGTGTGTGTGTGTGTGTGTGTGTGTGTGGTGGTGGTGGTGGTGTTATTTTTCTTCTTCTTCTTTATCTCCTCCTGTTCCTCCTTCTCCACCTCTTCCTCTTCCTCCTCTTCCTTTTCTTTCTCTTTCCCTCTCTTCTTCTTCATCCGCGCTTTTTGGTAGCTTTATCTTCAGGTGTTAGGATACATTTAATTGTGCACCGCGCTTTTTGGTAGCTTTATCTTCAGGTGTTAGGATACATTTAATTGTGCACATGTTGTTGCTGGTGTTATTGTTCTGTTAGGTTGAAACAAAGGTCTCTAGGTAGCTGAAACTGGCCTGGAGCCACGATGTGGCCCAGAGTGTCTTTGAACTCCTGCTTCTCCTGCCTCAGCCTCTCAAATGCGGAGGTTACAGGAGTGAGTCACCACACTTGGCCCTTCCTTGCATGTTTTAAGTGTCTTTCTCTCCAGTGACATTAGAAAGCCAGAGAGCAAGGCACACATCTGCCCATTCTCTGCCCATCTCTCACGTGGACCCAGGGTTGGCATATTGCCACTGCTCATTGCACAGTGGCTTCAGGAAGGTCGGGGTGTGGAAGCAAAGGCAGGTCTGGTGAGGACAGAGCTGGCTTCTGATTGGCTAGGGAAAACCATTCCCCATCCCCTGACTTGACAACTTGTGGAATGATCTTTGAATGATCTTTCCTATTCTGTGCAGATAACCATTTCTACAGTGACTAGTGATTGTATACATCATCTCTTTATTGTATATAATACTGTAAGCAATTAGATACAGTTTCCTTAAGCATTTCAGGTGTTTCACACAAGTGTTGCCAATTCTCACATTATATATATATATATATATATATATATATATATATAACTGAATTCACAGTTTGTGAGTTTCCAGGGCTCATCCATAGACTTAATATTCTGGTGTTGGAAAATGAAAGAGTATTGATTTCAGATCCTCAACATTAGAGTCATCTCAAATACTTACCTTTCCCCGACTTCACTGTCCCTTCCCATGAAGAAAACACAAGGAATAGTGTGACCGACTTGCGGAGGCCTGTTACCAGGAATGAACATTCTGACTTTCTCCACTGCCCATTGTAGAGCCATGTAGCCTTGCCACTGGAATGGCCGTGGCTGTTGCCCCCGCTTTACACTCTCTGTTCACAGAGGCTGTGGTCCAGCAGCGTGTTCCTCCGTCTGGAATTCCTTGGTAGAAATTAAGCTGTGCTTAGGCAGAGGACCTTAGGCAGAGGACAAGATGGAAGGGGAGGTGTCACCTACCCACCTCTGCAGAGGTGTTGCTGGGAAAAATAGCCGCTTTTTCAGAGATCCCTACAAACTATGTAGGAATCAGACTCTTACGGGATCTTTATAAAATACAAAGCAGTGTGGAGTAACTCAGCTAACATCCGCAGTCTAGCTGCCCCTGCACCTGTCCTCTGTCCATCCTGGGAAAGGCGTGAGCTCTTGTGAGCTCTTCTAAGCTCTCAGAGAGGTTGGAGACAGAAAAACCAATTCCAACCCTGAGCTCCTTAGACACGTGGCTTTCAAACTTCAAAGTCATGTCAAGATAATATGGAAAGCTTACATCCAACACTTGAGACTGTTTCTTACCTACCCTGGCTTTAGGGATGCTCCCCAAGAGAAAGCAGCCGAATGGCCTCTGTTTGCCTGCTTGACCACTTACTTGATCACTCAGTCATTTAGTAAATGTCACATCTCCATGCATGCAGTGCCAGGCTTGAGCCCTGACACCTGGCTTACACATGCTTTTTTAAAAAAAACATTGAAAAGGTATCTGTTGAAGGGTAGTTCTATTACTAGACAGGCCAGTGCTTCCTGTCTTGGTCCCTGCCCTGACCTCTGGAAGCTGGAATCATAAAGATATGGAAGTAGTACTGTGGCTCAAGTGGTAGAGCACTAGCCTTGAGCAAAAGAAGCATAGGGACAAGTGCCCAGGCCCTGAGTTCAAGCCTCAGAACTGGAGCAAAAATTGAAAATAAAAACCCTCCTCAAAATAACAAAAATAAGACCAGGCAGGGGCTGAGGGAGCCTCCCTGTTTTCGGTTTAGCATCCCTTAGCAACTCTTCTCATTTGAGATGGAATTTTAAGCAATTTTCCAGCCACAGTGGGGATAGTAGCCTTAGGGGGAAAATCTTTTCCTACCAGGAAGAGAAGTCTTGATAAGGTCTGGATGTAGGAAGGGGGCCTCCTCTCTAGGGCTGGCTTGAAGCTTGACCTGTTCTCCTGCACTGCTCCCTCCACTAACATATGGCTTCAGGAGATGACCAGCACACGAGGTCCAGAAGGAATGGAAGGGGCCGGTAGGGCCACAGAGAGATAATGCAGTCTTATCCATTTGCCTTCTCTCATTCTTCCCGGGAATCCAGGACTATTCACCAACTTGATTCCTCCCTAGGGAATTAAGGACCCAGAGAAGGTGCGTCTGTCACCCAACATGTAGGATGATGGGCATTCCTCTCATGTTGCAGATTTTGGATGCCACTTGTTAAGGCAGAGTGAGCCGAGACCTCTGACAGTCTCAAAGAATCATTACATTGTCAGGAAAATTCTGATGCCGCCGGGAATGAATTAGCACCAAGCCACCTTGACTTCAGTGCCTCGAAATATGAACCTCACCAGAGGCGCTCATAAATATGCACACAGGAGAGTCTGGGTGGGCTCAAAATTCGAGCTGGTCTCTCACATGGAGGAAAGGCATTTCCAGTCACAGAGGAGAAAACGAAGTCTGTTCTGGCAGGAAGAGGAAGCTGACTAGCAGGAGACCAGGGAAGCTCGCTGGCTTTTCCTGCCCTCCATCCAGTGCATGCTTCCCCTGACAGGCCTGTGTGGAATAGGCTTTGCCTCTTTAAGGGTGGGACACACCCAGGCTTCCTCTTAGGCCAAGGTCTGGAATAGCTGTCTTGGACTATTATGGACTATCAAGAATATATCCCACCCTCCCTCCCCTCAAAGCAACAGAACTTCCTCCAAGTCCAAGGCCTGTTGGACAGAAGGACTGGAGTCTTTTGCCTTTGCAAAGTTTGAATTATGTCCCCGTGAAATAGTACAGAGTCTCCTGCTTTATGGCGCTCACTGTCAAATCCAAATGAGGCAGAGTGAATATTCTGTTACTGAGACTATCATCAGATTCTCGTCTGATGTTGCCTTTTCTCCAAAGATAAACACATTCTCGGATTCCAGAACCACAGTCTCAGTTCCTCAGATTGAAACAAGCATTCAGACGGTTTTGGCATTTCCCATCGCTTAGAAAGACAGAGTATGTCGGCAGCTGGCATTCAGTGTTCTTGAAGCTCAACTGTGGCTGGGAGATCTGAAGGAACAAAACAATCTCCAGTGCTTCCACCCACAGGCCTTCACCCTTTTGTTTTGACTCTAGCTGTTAACCATGTAGGAAACTTCAGTCTTTGAAAGAACATATTAAGAAATACTTCAGACCTTCAGGAGAAAGCATGTGTAATACAAATAGCCATAATACGAATGATGCAACATTGTCCCTATTGTTGAAGATTAAGTTTGACATCATCCCATGCTTATTTTTACTCTTCTCTTGTTTTACATGTCTTAAAACTTTGTATAGTTCCGGATGCCAGTAGCTCATACCTATAATCCTAGCTCCTTAGGAGGCAGAGATTTGAGAATCGCAGTTCAAAGCCATCCTTGGCAGAATAATCAGAGAGATTCTTTTTTGGGGGGCGGGGGTTGTCCAGTTGTGGGGCCTGAACTCTGGGCCTGGGCGCTGTCCCTCAGCTCTTCAGCTCAAGGCTAGCGCTCTACCACTTGAGCCATAGCACCACTTCCGGCTTTTTTTTTCTGCTTATGTGGTGCTGAGGAATCGAACCCAGGGTCTCATGCATGCAAGGCAAGCACTCTATCACTGAGCCACCTTCCCAGCCCCCAGAGAGATTCTTATCTCCAAGTAACTATATTTAGAAAAAATCCAGAAGTAGAGCTATAACTCCAGTGATAGAGTGACCGCCTAGAAGGAAAAAGCTAAGGGACAGCACATGCCCTGAGTTCAAGCCCTACTACTGGCAAAAAAAAAAAAAGAGCACATCTTTAATTAATTCAAATAGAAATAAACTTTGTATAAAGTTTCATATTGTATTTATTCCCTTGAAATTTACTTTTTCCTCTTCACTTTATAATAATGGCATCTCTGTGTTTGGATATATATATATATGCATATGCATGTCAAGCATTTATATATACATATTATCCATATAATGCCATCTATGCACATCACTGTTTACTTATCCATTATGAAATATCACCATAGTGTCCTACAAAGGGCTAAGACCAATGGAAACACTCACTGTCCATCTGTAAAGTAGGTCTTACTCTTCCTGTCTTTGACAAAGCATGTTCTCCTCAGAGTATATTTTTACAATCAGATGGGTGAATGAGCACTCTTTAGGTTCTTGTTTGCATTTCTGGTTATTTGTGAGGCTGAATATGTTTTCTGGTCACTTTTCAACTTCCTGAATAATCTGTTTATTTTCTCGTCTCCAAGTTCTAACCAAGCCCCACCCTGCTTGGCTTTCTACAAATTAGATTAACATCAGCAACAGATTAGGTAAGATCTTGGATGATGTGGCCAGAGATATTGGCCAGTTTTTATTGGAAGGTGGTGGTTGCCGTTTATTACCTTCTAGGAGTTCTTTACGTGTTCTGAATGCTGGCCTTTCTCAGTGACGTGGATCTTGTGTCTGGTTTGTCTCTGGATCTGGTTTATGGTGCATTCCAGTGCAAAGAGGTTTGGCACGTTCATTTTCTTAATCTTTTAATTTTGGCTTATCCAGAGCTTGGTCCCTACCTTGGGATCAAGAGGTTTCTCCCAATAGCTTGGAATAGCTCTATGTCTTGCATTTTACATTTGAGTTTTCAGATATTTCTGGGGGTTACATTTTGTATTTGGTATGGTGTGAGGCTCCATTGTATTTTTCTGGAACAACCAAAAAATTTTTTTTTTTACAAACAGGTCAATAAAGCTAATTCTTCCATTCTTTTTCTGCAAAATTATTTCAGCCATTTTGGGCACATTTTTAATCTTTAATCCTTTCTTTTGACCTAATGCAATCCACTGTTAAGATTTAAGCAAAAGGCCGGGCGCTGGTGGCTCACACCTGTAATCCTAGCTACTCAGGAGGCTGAGATCTGAGGATCGTGGTTCAAAGCCAGCCCGGAGAGACCGTGAGACTCCTATCTCCAATAAACCACCAGAAAACCGGAAGTGGCGCTGTAGCTCAAGTGGTAGAGCGCTTGCCTTGAGCTGAAGAGCTGAGGGACAGCGCCCAGGCCCAGAGTTCAAGCCCCACGGCCGACAAAAAAAAAAAAAAAAATTAAGCAAAATGAGGCCAGGCACGATGGCACATGCCTATAATCCCAACTACTCGGGAGGCAGAAATAGGAGGATCATGGTTCAATGTCAAAAAGCACACAAAAAATAATATCTGAAAAATAAGCAAGCAGAAAGGGCTAAGGCTGTGGCTCAAGTGGTTTTGGGGGTGGGGGGGGAGGGAGACTTGAGGCAAAGGGTGACATCAAGCCAACATCAGTCCCAGATAATCAAAGATATCCAGATATAATCAGTGAGATATTTAACTCCTAAAACTAAGGTAGTTAACTCTTAAAACTCACTGTGAAACAATGAGCACAGATAACTCATATGCAATAAAGCATTCGTTGACCAAAACAAAAAAAAAAAAAAAGGGAAAACTTTGCTGGACTGTAGTGAGGGCCATTAAAAAATAGCCAAAGCTATCCTCCGGTCAGTACCACTGTTCTTGCCTCTACTTTAAAAATACCTCTCTGAAACCTATTTTTTGCATGCAGTTTTAGGAAACAGAGCTAAAACTGAGCGTGTTGTTTCCCAGTCATTCCTCAAATATCCAAACCCCAGGTCAGGCCACCCCGAGGAGAGAAAGCTCCAGAAGGGACTAAAATTCCATCAGGTCTAAGAGTGAAGAAGGCTTTCTATAGTTCAAGACTTCATGTCCCAGCCACACACTCTCAGGCCCTTTCCCTAACCTGCCAGTGACTCGTGGCTTTCTGCAGTGTCTTCAGATCCAGTCCCTCTTGTATGGACCGCAGGACAAGAGGACCTTGGCCACCCAGCAGACCGTGGACATACTATCTAAGTGAGTCCTGGCTTCTCGCCACTCTTTTCTTCTTCCTTTGCCATTCAGAATCTCAGTGGAGGTTGGTTCTAGAAAGCTCTGGGGACAGGTTAGCTGGATTTTTGTAACTTGCATAATGACACGAGAAAGCCAGCTGGAAAGTATCTTCCTTGCCCGGCTACGAAAAAGGAAGTTGCTCTTGAATTAGGTCAGAAACACATCCTGGGCCTCATCTTCCCACACATCAGCTCCCTGTGAGGTAGCCCTCCTGCGAAGCGGGCATTGCTGTGGCTTCCTTTAACTTCAGGGGTCAGCTAGGACCCCAGCTGGAAAGTTCCTGCCCTGAAGGCTGGTCCCACTTCCTTTCCCAGTCCGGTACTCTGGTGGGGAGAGACCCCCCACTTCACAGAGCCTGTGTCCTCCTTTCCCCCAGAGCTCATGGGCTCACAGTCAAGGCCAGAGCAAGCTCTCAGCAGCCCCCCGGAGCAGAGCTTGGGACACCCTGAGTCAGCAGGGAAGTTGACCTTGACAATCTCGTGCTCAAATTCTTTTCACTGACTTAACCAGCCCCGCAAGGATGGCTGCAAAGGATGAAAAGAGGAGACACACGCCTCATGAGTGGTCCTGTGGGGTGGTTCCCTTCTCCTTTATCTGCCTTCCTGAGGCTTCTCCACAGCAGGGAGAGAGCGAGCACAGAGGTCGGTGGGGCCCCACTCACCCGCCCTCTGCTTGTTTGCAGGAACCCCGAGGTTTCCATGAAGCCGAGGCAGTCTCTGAAAACCAAACTGGACATCTGCATCAACATCCCTCAGAACACCGCGCTGGGGAAGGCTAGGCCTCACGTGGTGGACTGAGGCCTCCCGAACATCCCAGGGCGAGCTGTGGGCAGGCCTGGACACTCTGTTTAGCGCACACATCTCTCTGAACAGAAGACAGAATCTAGCCGTCCTCCTGTGGATTTTCAAGGCTATTTGTCCCCAGCATGCACCAGGAGTGCCGTAGATTCCCCATGGGCCACATTTTCCCCCAGAGGATGTGAATCTGTGAAATCCGTGGGGGTGATCTGGCACTTTGATATTTTTCGTTATGTAACCGCAGTGGATTTTCATGCCAAGAATGTTTACACATCACGCAGGCTTGATCCTGTCACTGTAAAAGCCTTCTCTTCCAAAAATGCAGAACTTGTCGTGCTAGGAAGGTGACTCCACACCTAATTCTATATGTACATAGAGCCCCTTGCAAAGATCCAGAATCAGATTTGGAAAAAGCCCTTTTTTTGAAATAGGAAGATAATAGCAGATTGAATAAAATGCCAATAAAGAGAAACTTAAGAGTGCTATTGTTGGGCTATGTTTTTAAAAGAAAGGCTGAAAAAGGAAAGAAATGTACATATCACCCAATGTGGAAGAAATAACTGTCTCATCAAAGCTCATAGAACTCATAAACTTTATAGACTATGATAAAGACAATTTGCCCCATGAAGGTTAGAATGTGTTTGTGACCTTAACTAAGTATCACTATCCCACAATACTGTGAAATTTGTGAAATTTATGTAATCACTTAATCACAATAAAAAAAAGGCCAAAACAGGGGAGTCAATGATTGAGCTGCACAAGGCCCTAGGCACCATCCCTCACATCCCAAATCAATAGATGATGATAGATGACAGATAGATGATAGAAGATAGACAATAGACGTGATCGATGACCAATAGATGACAGCTGATGACAGATAAATGACATAGATGACAGGTGACAGATGGATAAAATGAAGACTGCCCTGGTGTTCCTGGGAGCTTGGGAAGGCCCCTGGGACAGTCAGCCCCTTCGTTCTGGTGCTCAGTCATTCATCCAGTTTTCCTGAGTGTCTGCAACATCCCAGGCCTGCGTTAAGAACTGGGGGAATCAACCATACACAAAACACAGGCAGCCCATCCTCCCACAGCTGGTGACCCAAGCTGGCATGGGTACCAAACCCAGGATGGTGGAATTCGTAAACAGCAGTGTAACCATTGTAACTGAGGACAACCTGGTAGGTGGTGAGTGGCGTTCACATGGCCCTGGGGAGACAGGGGAAAGCGGGACTGAGACACCTGTGGGGCTGTGGAGGAGGGGCAGTGACTCCGGCTGCCCTGCTTGCTTGTTTGGCGCCTACCCCAGACAGGACAAGCAGCTGCCTATGGAAATGGCCCAGGCTCCTAGTGTGCGTTGTCTGCTGTGGCCATCCTCCTCCTCCTCTTCCTCAGGGGGTGCCACAGCCGTGTGAGGATGTGAAAGACAAGCAGGAAGTACATGCGCCTCCTTCCTGTCCATCAATGAGATCAGGGCTGGAACATGATGGAGAACCTGGGGGGGGGCAAGGGGTGCAGGACTGGGCAGTGCCATCCCTTCCCCCGCTTCCCCTCTCCCAACACCCAGGCCGATGACACTGCAGGTGTGCACTAAGATGGCAGCAGGACGGCACTATACAACCCCTCCTCCCAGCAATGGAAGCCACAGCCAGGGCTGGTCCGTGTGTGCAGGCCAAATACCATGAGAACTAAAGGGGCAAATGAAAGGAGTCCTGCTATGGTGGAGAGGCAGGGCCCTTCGTCTTCCTCAGAAGTGTGACAGCTGAGCAGGCTGGCTGCCCCCTGCCTACTCCAAGTCACAGAGGGTGCTTCAGAGCACTGCTCCAGGTCCATTCGTTGAAGATGTGTATTTCAAGGTCGAGGGCAGAATGTGCATTGTAAATGTGGACCATACGGGAGGCTGCTATGCACGTATGTCTCCCTCAAGATGCATACTTAGAAGTCCTAACCTCCAAGGTGATCGTCTTTGGCAGTGAGGTCTTTGGGAGGTAAGGAGGTCCTGAGGGTGGAGCCTTGGTCAATGGGGTTGGTGCCCTTATAGAGACATGAATCTTTGCCACCCTGGCCTCCAGAATGATAAGGAAATACATGTTATTGAAGCTACCCAGGTTATCATATTATGCTTTTGATTGGTTTGTTGTTGTATGCCAGAACTGGGGCTTGAACTTAGGGGGTCCCAAATTCTCACTACATGTTTTCATTTATGGCTGGTGTTCTACAACTTGAACCATACCTCCAGTCCAGTTTTTCTGCTGGTTAATTGTAGATGGGGGGGGGGTCTCTTAGACTTTCCTGCCTGGGCTGGCTTTGAACTGTGATCCTCAGATTTCAGCCTCCTGAGTAGCTAGGATAATAGGAGTGAGCCAGGGACACCTGGTTTGTCAGTATTTGTTAAGAAAAATTTGAGTTCTGACTTGTTGCTTCATTTCTGTATTTCTTAGGAGATAGATCAGAAACACTTTTAAAAAAAATAGATTTTGGCAGATACCAGGTACCGGTTGCAGATACCAGGTACCGGTCCGCAGAACAGCAGATCGCCAGGAACAGAGAAACCTACCAGCCGGGATTCTCCACGAGGATCCCACCCCCA